TAATGGGCCACGAAAAAGTTCACGGGCCCGTGAAGCAGTAGCCCATTAGGGGAAAAGAGTAGTCTTAGGGGAAAAGAGTAGTCAACTGCGGAAAAGAGTAGTCAACTGCGGAAAAGAGTAGTCAACTGTAGGTTGACTACTCTCTTGTGGACTATTTTTGGCTAAGTGGTTTTTTTGGCTATATTTTGATAAGTAATTAAAGATTTTGGCTAGATTTGTATTTTCCCATCTTAATCTTAATATAGCATAATCTTTGATATATAAGAAGTTATTGGTTTATTAAAACATGATAATTATATTATAGAATTTGTTGTTTTATGAAAATTCATTAGAATAAAAAGGGCTAATTTAATAATAAATAATATGTGACAAATGCTAATTTTCATTAATTTACAAATATAAATTATACACATTTACCAAAATTAAAATAAATCATACACATATTTAACCACCATATATAGGTACCACTAAATTTTACAATCACATCTACATGCCGACATGAATTTTGTACCAAAAAGAACAATTGAGAGTGAAACTTGCCAACAAGTAAAAACATATTTTCCATAAATATGAATGTTTCTGTTTAATTTAACAAATAACAATTTAATAAAGATCAGAAAAAACAATTCAATAAATATCAAAATGTTGTTTCCCTCTTTCAGTTTACTTTATTACTATTAGTAGGTGTAAGACTCATGTATTACATGAGTTAATTAAAAAAATGAAATATAAAGGTATAAATATTTAATAACTTTGGATTTATAAGAAAATAAAAAAAATAATTAATTATTAAAACTGATTTTTTTATCTTTTAAATTTAAATAAATAAACAAAATAAACTAATGAGCTTTAATTTGGAAATTTGGAAATAAGAAAGTAAGTTTATTAATGAAATTGTTATTCATTTATTACTATATTTATCGTAATTATTACATTAAAATATTATGTGGAATTTATTAAAATAGAAAAACCCATAAAATGAAATGTGGAAAAGAAATTAATTCAAAAAAACCAAAAAATGACATTTGACAAATTGAATAAGAGTGTGACATATGACAAAAAAAACTTTTATTTATTAGAGTAGATTCTTTTTCATACAATATTTATGTGCCTATGAGTTTCGTCTTTACTTTCAGTTCTATTGCTTATATATGTTTTTGTGTTTAGTCATACAACACTATTATTTATTGATTCTGAGTTGGTGTTCATATGCAAGATATCATCTAGTGTGAGCTTTTTTTTTTTTTTAATTTTATTTTATTAAGGCGAAGGTCATCTATAAAAACAGTCTCTCTATCTATAGATAAAAGCTACTTATATGCTTTATTGTAAGTTTTTGCTTTCACTTATCTATGTAACAAAACAATATTTACTTACTTACTTACCATTGCTCTTTTTTACTTTCAATTTTATTGCTTCTATTTTATTTTTTGTTTGGTCATACACCACTATTATTTCTTCATTGTAAGATGTCCTTCATATGCACAAGATCATCAGGCGTTCCTACATCCTACCTTGCTTGCCGTATTCTTAGGGGACTTGGCTACTTTTAAACATGTGAAAGCAGCTCAATGACCATAAAGTAGTCGACACCCAATCACATGTATATGACATCAAGAATCTTGTACCATGCGAACAAAAAAGCTGTACTTTATGTAGAAATGGTTGTACTATGCTCAAGAAAAGTTGTCCTATATGCAATGATTTTAGATTTACGACATTCAACGATAACAATTAACTTTTTCAGCTTTGATTGTGAACGACAATGTCAAAAGACATTAACAATCTTTTATTCCTTTCACTGCAAAAAGATGAAGTTTTTAACTAAATCCAAGTTATAATTCAACCTTCATTTATGTACATTTTGGGGGTAAAAACTCGATTTCTAGTCTAGTTCTTCAAGAATTGATTGCAATTTTTTTTTCAGATCATTGCTTCTTTCGATCTATGATATTCTGACACTGCAGAATCGTTTTTACACTCACACAATGATTGGTAAGCTATATATGGTTGTTTCTTCTTTGACTTAATACAGAAAGAACGATTTAACTAAGAAAATTGTTATTTTTTTCTTTTTCCATTAGGTGTTGTATTGGCAAAAAAATAAATAAATGAAGGGATAATGAACTAATGATATCTCTTTAGATAAAGTGTTATATACATAAAGATTGTTTTTTTTTTTTCTAGACTGAATAAAACATACGAATGGGTATTTGACTTAGACGGGTTGGGAGGAACAAAAGAAGAGCATTATGTCTAGACTAAGTCAAAAACATAAAACAACCATTTATAACTAAGCAGATTTACTGTTTTACCTATTAAGCCACTTAAGTAAAAAACAAACACCCCAAATGTAGCCCCAATGTGATGGAAATGATACTTTTCAATTAAATCCTAACTTTTTACAAATTTACCCTCATTTATTTTTTCCTCCTATTTGCCCAAGTGGTGCCATAGTTTTCTCAGATATGTTTTAAAAATCATTTATTATTGCTATGGAAAAAATGAAAAAAAGAAATAGGCTGAACAAATTTACAAATTTGCCATTGTTTACTTTCTAAAAGAGAAAGTCAGAGATCAAGGTTTCTATATAAAGTCCTTATTTTTTTAACAAAATTGCGTCATTTGACACATTTGGTTTTCTCGTACCAAAGGTGGTGGAGCTCGTCAACAGAGTCCAACGGGCAATGCATTATAATGTTATACCTCCTAGATCTACAGATATTGTTTTAAAAAGAATTAGTTTTGCCATCCAGAAAGGTCTAGCGGCGCAGCTTGTTGTCCGTTTGCCTTCCATCGATATGTATTGAACTATATATGTATTTTTAATATAATTTCAAAAAAAATATAGACAAAACGGATTAATATAGTAAGCTATATATAGAAGTATTTCTTTTTGACTTAATACAGAAAGAATGACTTAATTAATACAGAAAGAATGACTTAATATAAAAAGTCAGGTAAATGAGGCTTTTCCCATGAAATCTTAACTTTTAAATAATTCTCTCATATATTCTTTCTCCATTTTCCCTGAGTGTATCATATTTTTTCAAATACTTTTAAATGATCCTTTAATTCTATAACCATAAAAACAAAAAAGAACCTTATGTTTAGTTGATAAAGATTCGATTTTTAGTACCTTAAAATCACCAATATTGTTGATTAGTGCAACCTCTTCAACAACTGATTCTTTAGTTTCATTCTCATGTGATTTTATATCCGAATTCCATGAGCTGCTTCAGTTTCTGAAAGTTCTTCACATGGTACCGTTTCATGAGCAATACCATTATTGTAGATGGACATAATATCATGATCATCCATCATGGATAAAAATATAAAAAGTTCCAATGAATAAAATATTCTAATTGCCAGTTGCAGCATTTAATTTTTAGCAAATTTTCAAAAAAAAAAAAATTACTTACCCACTTGTTGGCATCATTAGAAATTGTTAATGTTATGTTTTTGACTTAATGGACTTAAGTAGGGGTGTTCATCGGGTAATATTTTCGGGTTTCGGGTAATTCGGATTTTTCATGTTAAAAAAATTACCAGTTACCCAACCCAAATTAAGTTTGGGTAATTCGGGTAGTGAGTCGGGTTTGGGTAATTCGGGTATTACCTGAAATATATAATTTTTTTTGAATGACACCTGAAAATAAATTTAATGAAATAAATATGTCGTGCTCTATTAGTCTTGTTTATATAAACAAGACTAATGATAGTTAGTTTAAGCGTCTTCAAATACCTGCTACAGAGTACAAACTCTACGAAAAAAAAAAAAGAATTTTTAAAATAATTCGGGTAATTCGGGTATACCCGAAACCGAACAAACGTACCCTATACCCGACCTGGGAAAAAATGTTAGCCGAATACCCGAAAAAATTTATCTGATACCCGATTTACCCGATACCCGAAAAAATCGGACGGGTAATTCGGGTAACGGGTATTTTCGACAGGGCTAGACTTAAGAGAGATAGGTGTTTCTTTTTTACTTAATGGGGACATGACTTGATGGAGTTATTTTTTACTTAATGCACAAAGAACGACTTTACAAAGAATGTCAGAGAATTGAGGCATTTCCCATTAAGTCTTAACTTTTTACAAATTTGCACTCAGTTGTTTTTTTTGCTTTCCATTTCTCCAGATCTGCCTTCATTTTCTCAAATGACTTTTAAATATCATTTTCAGACTCCACTTAATACGAAAAGCAAAAAAAACATGACATTAATTCAATTTCAAATAAGCTATATATGAGTGTTTCTTTTTCCTTGAAGTCGAAAGAACTAATTAACAAAGAAAGACTTTTAGTCGACAAGATTCCCCATTTTATCATTATTTGAAGGTCATTTAGGTATTGCTTCATGGATTTGATAGGGACATATGGTTTTTAGAGAAAGTTAGGGAAATAAGGTTTTTAGTCCAAAAGATAACCCTATTTTATATGTATGTGAATTGAGGCCGTCTAATGTAGTCTCTATCTTTCCATTGTTTTTTTTCTTACTCAATGACCGTTAATTTAATTAACGTTTATTGGTCTAAAACACCCTTAGGCAATAATGGAGTAAAAAACTTGTGGAACAGAAGGGACAAAATCAATATTTGCTAAAGTTGTCGATGCATAAATATATAACTTATAGTTTCTATATTTGACAATAAACGAGTATAAGGAAAACTTTCAACTACCATTCAAATCTAAAATACCCTTTGAGAAGAACAATAGCAATGGGGTAAATGTCTAAAATAGGTCATTTAAGTTCAATTTTTAGTATTTTACCCAAAAAAACGTATATGTAAATGGCCAAAAGGTGTACCAACTAGCAATCAACTGAAGATTCGAGCAATGTCAAAGGATTGCTATATATAGTTCGACTAACGATTTCTTAACGACAATTAGAAAATTAGAACTAATTTATTCCAACATATATAGCATATTCTACTCATAGTACAAAAATTCACATACACGGATACACATTATGATATACAATCTATATACACATATACTATCTCGGACCTGAGAGTCTAACAGCAGATAAATAAGCCTCACTATTACAATCCGAAGGCCCGGATGAAGTTCCTTCTTCACTAATAGACTTAAAAATACCCGAATAGAACCGCGAACATGTTTGAGAAGCCATAGGTGGTGTGGGCACCACACACAAACCCTCAAGCATTTGAACCACTTTGGTCATAGGAGGTCTTAAATTCATATCATCTTGTATACACCATAAAGCCACTTGTATCGCGACCTTAACACGTTCATCTTTTTCATCAATTTTCATATCTTGGTCGAAAATTTCTTGGATTTTCCCCTCTTCCATCATTTTAAACGCGTAAGATGGGAAATGGGATTTCTCTGAAATCACCGAGGAATCGTAGTTTTTACGTCCCCCAATGATTTCAAGAAGCACCATTCCAAAACTGTAAACATCACTTTTTTCAGATATCGCGTAGTTCGTGATCCATTCGGGTGCTAAGTATCCGCGGGTCCCTCTCAGGGTTGTGAATACATGACTTTGTTCGCGCGTCATTAGCTTCGCTAACCCGAAATCCGATACTTTCGCGCGGAAATTCGCGTCGAGTAAAACGTTCTCCGGTTTTATATCGCAGTGCACGATTTTAACATCGCAGTCTTCGTGGAGATACGCGAGCCCTTTCGCGGTCCCCACTGCGATGTTGTATCGCGTATCCCAATCTAATAAAAACTCGGTTTTTTTCTTTTTGAAGATCCATCTGTCTAGCGAACCGTTACCCATGTACTCGTATACCAAGAGGCGGTGTGCACCTTCCGCGCAAAACCCTTTGAGCCGAACCAAATGGTGGTGGTGGATCCCACCGATGATGCTGACCTCTGCCCGAAACTCCTTCTTTCCCTGCCCGATTCCTTCTAATTGCTTGACCGCTATCTTTGTTCCATCTTTTATCACGCCCTCGTAAACCGACCCAAACCCACCCTGCCCGAGTTTTATACTAAAGTTATCGGTTGCTTGTTGAAGGTATGTGTAACTAAAGCGCACAGGCATCCCGGATATACTTTCAAAGAAATTATCTTCTTCCGATGATTCATTATCTTTTTCGATTGGAATATTTCGCTTTTTGTTCCAATAAATCCATATGAACACAAGTGTTAGAATGACAAAAATTGTGGCAATGACAATCGCGATCACAACAACAATCGATTGTTTCTTCTTTTTCCCGTTTAAATCGCGCGAAATTTTAACGTAAGATTCGAAAGATTCGCCGTTTTTCGCGTCTTCAAAACTTCCAATCTGATCGAAAAGATAACAATTTCCGGATTTGTTATCGAAGAACATAGCCAAACAAGAACAGTTACCTAAACACGATGATTTACACCCATCTAAATTTGTTTTTGAAGAAGGTGACGTGTACCCAAGTGCTGAATAGCTTAGATTATCGCCTGCGTTAATGAGAGTCGCTTCATCTTTCTTCGCGCACGATAGACTAGATGGTTTGCAGCTGATTTCGTTGAGGCCAGATGGGCATTGACACGTGTTGCCAGAGTGGCAAACGAGGTACGTGGAACAAGATTGTGGTGTACTACACGTGTCATCAGGGATTCCATGGTTTGCTGTTATTTTTCCTGGGAGATTATAGAAGCTAATGAAGCCGTTATCTTCTAGAACAGCGGCCCAAGTGGCGTTGGAATCATCACCATCTGCAAACACGAATTGCCATAACAAAACTTTGTTTTCATCGAAAAACCTCCATGAATTGCCATTAATAATGGCGGATTCGAGGTTTCCACCGTCTTTGTTGATGATTCTCCTTTTGTCTTTACTCATAGCCCAATACGATTGAGGGTTTCGGAACCCGGTTGATAAAAACATGTCTCCGTTTTTGATTTCTAAAGAAAATGTCAAATTGTTTTTCGGATTGCTTACAAGTTTCGATCCTGAACTGAAATCTTGATTTGGCATAAGGGTGTTTGTGGGGTTGCTAAAACTTTGCCAAACGAAAACGCCGTCGTTACGTACCAGCACCAAGTTACCGGAATCAAGCAATTTCATGGCGGCGACACCTTTCCCGGTGGTGTTTGTTGACCAGATGACTTTTCCGTTGGTTTGAATGTAAGCATTGCCGTCGTCGCCAAACACAAAGTTATCGGAATTACCAACGGGAACCCTTCTATTTGCCGACCAAATGACTTTTGAAGTTGTAATGTGAATGATACCGATGGTGAAGGAAGTGATATCGGCGTTTGGATTGAAACCAAATCCGAAATTAGAGCTGTTTGATAGTAGGAATAAGCCACTGTTGTCTATGAATTGCATTTGAGATCCTTTGAACCCAGGGCTCACTTTGCCAATATATCGAACACTTGATAGGCATGTTTGAGGTAAGAAGAGGAAGACCCAACAGATAACGTTGAGAAAGAAGAACAACCAAGCTCTCATTTTTTTTTCTTCTTCGTGTTTTTCAAATTCTGAATGGCTTAAAATAAAGAACAAAGGAAAATCGGGATCTACCAGTTGACTAACTTGCACCAGGTGCAGAAGTGGAAAGAGAATGGAAATTGGGCATCATGATGAAACACAGACATCGATAAAGCATTAAACAAACGCAAATTGAGGGGTATAATACCAAAATTAAACACGGGGATTGAGAAATCAGCTAAAAACAAGAACAGGAGGTTTTCATTTTTGCTAGAAACGTCAAAGTAACAGCAAATTCAAGGGAAAACGAAAACCCCACCATGAGATTAAGTTAATGAACTATAAACATAAATTGGTGCTCATCAAATTTGGATAAGAAAAGTCAAAACTACACGTAATTGAGGAAAGTCCGACAAAATTGAAGACTAGAGATAGATAAAAGCTGCCATGAACAATAATGGGTCCTCTCCATTTTGGGTAAAAACGTCAAAATTGGACAAGAAGAGCAAATTTTCTCACCTACGAAACTTTATGAATTGTCTCTATTTTGGATAGAAATACGAAATACAAATTACTTTTCTTCCAGCACATGCCAGCAAAGAAGAGAGAGAACGAGAGAGAGTCTGCGGATGTCAATTTCCTGAAATTAGAAAAGAGATGAGACGAATTTGTTAGTGCTGAGGTCAAAGAAATAGGAAGATCTGAGGTGGGGTTTAGAAATTCGAGCCTATACTTACACAGATACATGTATGTGTATGTGTATGTATATGAATTATGTATGGATGACAGTAGATCACGAGTGGTGAACATAGTGGGTTTAAAATATGAAAGATTGATCAAAGCGTGAAGATGTCGATATAATTAATGTGAAATGGGAATTGAATTAGGGTTGATGGGTGGTAGATGAGATGAAATTGAATGATAAGGGGTCAAAGGTCTGCCCAACCAACTTGTTCACTACTACCCGCCACTTCATCACCTTCAAAAGAAATACACTTTCTCCCCCCACACACCATGTGTCATGTGTCTTGCTATTGAGACTTGAGAGGAAGATACTTGTATTATATTTTTCTTTTTTAATACCTTTAGTTAGGATTAAATATAAATATAACAAGGTTTATAAATTATTAACTAGTTTACTGAAATCGTATATATGGTTACTTGGTTAGATAAAAAAAAAATTACCGTTTTGTTTTTATATTTTTTTTATGTAGATCATTTCTATGGTATTTTTTATTATTATAACTTCTCTTCTTGTATGCATAAAAACACTATTGTCTTGAAATATATTTATTTGTGAAATAGATTATTTATTAATTTAAACATTTAATAAATTAATACTTTTTTTGTTTTTATATTTTTTTATGTAGATCATTTCTATGGTATTTTTTATTATTATAACTTCTCTTCTTGTATGCATAAAAACACTATTATCTTTAAATATATTTATTTATGAAATAGATTATTTATTAATTTAAACATTTAATAAATTAATACTTTTTTTGTTTTTATATTTTTTTATGTAGATCATTTCTATGGTATTTTTTTATTATTATAACTTCTCTTCTTGTATGCATAAAAACACTATTATCTTTAAATATATTTATTTGTGAAATAGATTATTTATTAATTTAAACATTTAATAAATTAATACTTTTTTTGTTTTTATATTTTTTTATGTAGATCATTTCTATGGTATTTTTTATTATTATAACTTCTCTTCTTGTATGCATAAAAACACTATTATCTTTAAATATATTTATTTGTGAAATAGATTATTTATTAATTTAAACATTTAATCCCCACCATTACTATTCCTCAAACCCTACCCCACTCCGTATCCTTTTTTGTTGTTTTCCAGAACACACCTATAGTCTTCTTTCCTTAATGGTTTTTCGTCTACCATAGCCATCTCTTAGCTCTCGTAAACACATCATCTACACGATTGATGGGTTTTAATACAAAGTATAAGTGTGTTTTTTATAAAAGCTGGTCAACAGAAGCGTTGAAAATAACAAGTTTATTTTTGAGTTTATAACAAAACCAAACCATCTAGGATCCATTTATAGATGTTAGAATGATATTGAAACAACCATAGAGTATTTAGAATGACAACATTTGAAGCCTTTGAACACACTTGGTTTTGGGGTGTTGATGAAGATAGAAAAATCAAAGAGTATGATTTTCTCTACAAGTATACACCATCAAAATTAAGGCACTTAGAATGTCAGTTCCTTCTTGTATAAAGTATTTCCTAAGTCTTTAAGTGCTTAACTAAAATAAGCACTAAAGGAGAAGCACTTTAGAGCATCATTTCTTCAAAATACTTCAAAGGACAAGAAGAAGAGGGAGGGTGAGAGTGGTTTCGGCCACAATGAAAAAGAGAGGAAAAGTAGTGAAAAAACTAGCCAAAACTCATGCAAAAGCCTTCCTTTTATACTCTGATAAAGTATTGGTAGCCTTTTAGAAGCATGATGAACATATGAAGAAAGTTGACAAACAACTTCTTCTCTTATAAAAATGATTTTGGCCATGCTTAAGAAGAAGACAAAATTTGTCTAGCTAGTTTATTAACCATGGTATGTTAACACGTTAACTTAATCATGGTTAACCAAAATGTCCAAAACTTTGTACTTGACTTATTAAATCATACCATATGAAATAATAACAATAATTATTCCCTAAATAAATACAAGAATTGATAGTATTTATTAATAATCATATTAATAATAAATATACAAAATGTGCCAACTTGATAAATGTGTGCCCCAATAGGATCATATGTTATTAGCAATATCACTCAATAGTGATTCTTGGGCATATAGATTCAACAATCTCCCACTTGCACAAGATTCATTACAGACTAGCATAGACAGTAACTGACGTCTAGCAACGGGCTATTGTACCTAATAACATATGAAGGGTGCCATCTTATCAACAACCAATTCCAAGAGCTTTAAGCTACAATTTTCACTAAAGGTGTGGTATCAGTTATTCCTTTGTCTCAGACATCATGTTGAACATGAGATATGGATCGCCATCAATCTCATTCAGTGTTCAACTTTTACTCTTTTAGTATGGCCTTAGATTTCTAGCTCTCAATGAATAAGAGGAACAAATCCCATGTTGACTACATACGCCCATCATTGTAGTTCATGTCATACCTAACGATGACCCTTATGACTGTCTTTTATGGAACAACATTAAACCATGTCAAAGCATAACAATTTCTACACTTCAAGTCCCAAATATGTATCTCAGGTCTAAGAATACAAAGATACAACCTTGATCAAAACATCACTCATAACTACGGATCCATAAAGTGATTTTGATGCGGGACAAGTCCAATACTTATTCTCCTAATCAAGTTCTTATGAAGTTGGTAGCAACTTTTGCTATTCTCATCTCCATGAGAATAAACCAATCCAATCATATTAGTCTTACCTCATAGATGCTCCTTCAACTATGAACGATTATGGAAATTTAGAATAACCTAGTTATTCAAGGATTTAAACATTCTAATATAGAATACACTAATTATTTAATGAAAGACTTATATCCAATATATCAACTCATTACAATATATGTTGTTTGTAATGTTCCAATATCCAAATACTAAATTTTAATCAAGTACATCTACTTATATCAACAAGGACCTATAACACCCGCTTAACTTTCATTCTTTAAGTAATGAAGGTGCTATGTTAAGTAGATTTAATAGACTTAATTTGTATAAAATTTGCGAATACAAACATTTTCAATTATATATATATATATATATATATATATATATCACTCATATATAGAGAAAACTATTGAGAATTTATTAGATGCTTAAATATGACTTAGATACCAATACTTGCGTAATGAGATTACTCATAGTCATAATGAACTATACATTAAGCATCTTTATATATGGTTCTCCAAACAACAATGTACTCTAACTATGATGTGTAATTGTAATTCAAATCTACATGGAACCACTTTTCATGTAACTTTCTCTTCATTCATAATGAGGATATGCCCGATTGTGATTGAGAGTCAACTTGATCTATTTCAAAGTTTAGCATATGTATAACAACTTAAAAAAACTTTCTTTCAAATACCCCATAGAGTAGGAATATTTCTTTAGTTCTCGCAAGTACTTTTGAATGTTCCCATAAGTCACATCATGACTTGCTCTCGTATTATATTGGTATCATTCGGCATGCTCTAAGCATATGACTTATATGGCCTTCAGGCATAATCATGACATATATGATTAATCAAATTGCAACAACATAATACAATCATATTATCTAGTTTAAAACATTATACTAGGATTTTGAGTAATGCTCAAAATCATGTCATGTGGTATTTGACAAGATAACTCTCTCAGAGTCCTTTTATCTTAAGCTCTTTAAGATCCTTAAGAATTAATGCAATTTTACTTAATCCTTTAAGTTTTCATGATCTATACACATAGATCCTTATTCCAATAATTAGTATTGTAACACCCTTGATCCAGGAAGGAAGCCATTGGAAAACAAGGAAGGAGCTCTAAGCTTTGTAGATCTGAGTTTTACACTTCTTGAGCAATACCCAGAAGGTATAAAGTTCTGAACTTGATGATTATCTCTCAAGATCTTGCTAGTTTTAGAAGTTATGTGCTTTTAGTCCCATATTCTTGGTCTAGGTGAGTATGGACTACTCTAGACCAAATGAGTTGTCCTTTTGGACGTTTTGGAGTGTTTAGAGATATAAAAATGGGATCTTGACCCTTCACTTTCCACCATGCATGTATTATGTGGATTAGGATATTGTGAGATGTTAGGGTTTAAGATTTGGATACTTTATAGTCATGCGAATTCATAAAGCTGGAAACTTTATGACATAAAATGTTATTTGGGACTAGAATCGAGTTTTGGACGAAAGGACTTTAGGGTTTAAGCACTTAACATGAAGGATTGGAATCTGGCCAAGTACGCTAGGCGTACTTGTAAGGTCACACCTTATGATCTGATGAGGCAAACACTTTATAC